TTATGAACGGGACACTACAGGTGGGCAGCTATGCATTGGCGGTTAGTTCTTAACTGGTCTTTTTTTATAAGCGCCGGTCTATGATGGGGTATGTGTTCACTTTGACCCGTGCGCCGGTGTGTTGGAGATGCACCTTACAGTCGACGGTGGCGTTTATGAACGGGACACTACAGGTGGGCAGCTATGCATTGGCGGTTAGTTCTTAACTGGTCTTTTTTTATAAGCGCCGGTCTATGATGGGGTATGTGTTCACTTTGACCCGTGCGCCGGTGTGTTGGAGATGCACCTTACAGTCGACGGTGGCTTTGTCTACGACGGAGGCAGAGTATATGGCAGTTACGGAGGCTGTGAAGGAGGCTATTTGGCTTCGAGGACTTTTGGAAGAACTTGGTATATCGCAGCGATCCGTCACTATTCATTGTGATAGCATGAGTGCTATCTATTTGGCGAAGAATCAGGTTTTTCATGCGCGGACGAAGTACATTGATGTTCGTTATCACTTCGTTCGGGATGTTCTTGAAGATGGCGATGTGGAGATTGTGAAAGTCCACACGAAGAATAATCCGGCAGATATGCTCACTAAGGTGGTTCCGAGCAACAAGTTTGATCATTGTCGAAAATTGTTGCATATTCGTGATTGTTGAGGCCGTTGGCGGTCATTTGGGTGAACTACGTTCGGCTTGATTCCTTGGGCAAGAGGATACGTAGGCAGTCATGTAGATGCAGCCGGTTTGGATTAGTTGATGGGGGTGAGATTGTTTGGACTCTCGTTCGGGTTCTCGACTTGTTGTGGATTGCGTTCGTACTGGACACAACAAGTGGGACATTTGGTTGCTTTGGTGTCGGCTCAGTTTTGAGAAAACTTCACCGAGGTGGAGAATTGTGAACGTGGGGGTAGTGGACGCGGTTTCACAACCGCGTGAGTGGACACGGACACGAGAAAGCCCACGAAACTCACCAAAGTATATATATATATATATATATATATATATATATATATGTTATATATATATATATGATATATAATATAGTATATATATTATATATATATATATATATATATATATTATAATATATATTATTATATATATACTTTTAAATATATATATATAATTTATATATATATATATATACCGTTTGTGATTTTTAGGTTATTGTACAGGAGGTTATGGTTGGGTCTTTTGCGGGCTGGGAAAACAAGGTTTGGTACGGTGATTGGTTTGCGGCTAGCAGAGAGTGAAAAGAGTTGGGTTTGTTGCATCCTTTCTTGTAGAGAGAGTTTGTGAGGCATTTGAGAAGTTGTTGAAGGGTTTATATTTGTGAGTGAATTGTTAAACCCTAGTTGTATCTCTCGCCTACTATAGTTATCTACTCGCCCTCCTTGCCCGTGGACGTAGGCAATTTGGCCGAACCACGTAAAAATTGGTTTGCTACGCTATTTCGTGTGATTTGTAATAGCTTTTAGTCCCTCAACGCGCAAGTCTAGAGCTGACGAGAGAAGAGGCTAATATCCCACTTTGATGAGATATTAGGCTTAGATTCTTGTGCCTTGAGAAACAAGAATTCTGTATTGCCGATCTAACTCTCTTGTTGTGCCTCGCCGAAGTGCGGCTGAAATTCCGCTGCGCGCAACTTTTATATTTAATATATATATATATATATATATTCATATATAATATTAAATATATATATAATATATATATATATATTATAATAATATATACATGCTAAAAAAAGTTACTATCCGGACGGGCCCGGCCGATCGCGATGCAGGCCCGGGCCCGGATTTTCCGGGCGGCGGGCTTCGTCCAGCCCGGGCGGGGGCTTTTTGGACCACCCCTACTATGTGCGTAGAGAGCAACCAGACCTAATACATCTGAAAGACCAGGCGCGGCGGCTTCCAATAATTTGACAGTCGTGTTTTCTAAAAGAATAAAACGCAAGAGGGCATAGCATATTATAACTAGTTACAGGCAACTCTAGTTGCGTACTGCCCTAAACAAACATGCGTTGTTAGGTACGATCTGTTTTGGGTTAAATATGACATTTTTAGCTTAATTACAATATCTTAACTAGTTATAATACTTACCAACAGTAATAGCAATATCTTAACTAGTTATAATAATTACCAACAGAACACGTGTGGAAATGTAAATGTTCATCAAATATTGAATTTTCCTTGGATAAATTGTTAGACTCCCTTAAAATTTTGCATTTTATGTTTAGCTATCAAAACTGAATAGAAAGTGAATCAAATATTGAAATTTAATATATGGATAAGTAACTTCAATTTCTCGATTTTTTTCTTGTTTGGCTGGTGAAAAATAATGAGAAAGTAAATAGAAAGTGGACGGTGGTCTTAATTGGAAATGTAATTCTTCCATTTTATTATTATTAGTTTTAGTAGTAAGCAGATTGGCTGTGAAACGCAAGGAGAGAGAGAACAATTATTTTATTCTCTCTTATTATGCTTAATGGTTCGCTTCAACTATTAATTCGATGACCCAAACGAAGAAAGTGGTGTTCAGGCCTAAGCCCGGGACTAGACCTGGTGCTAGCCCACTCAGGCTTGGGCAGGGCTTGGGCAGGCCTTGGCCTGGCTCGCTCATGGCTCAGGCCGCCCGAGCCCTATAAAATTTCTTTTTTGTAATCAATGAAGTATGCAAAGTTCTAAAAGAGTTTCAGAAGCACAAGAAGTTGCGACGGTAACGGTATGTAGGCGATGTTAGATCTACATCATAAAACTTGAGATCTAAAACCATATAGTCATGATTAATTCAAAGAGATTAACAAATAATCAAAAGAGCGGAAGCTTATACCTGAATCCATGGATGAAATCTTGATTTGGGTTTTTGATGATCTTCTAACCTTAGGGTTTCTCTAAAACCGAATTTCTCTAGCTAGATGAAGGTGTAGAGAATTAGAGAATGTAACCCTAGGTTAGGGACCATAACCCCTTATTTATAGATGTTGTACTTTTGTAATTTAGCCCCTCAATAAATCACAATTACAACCTGGTATCTGCACATATAACCCCATGATTATATTTAAATACCCATTAACCCAACTTAATTGATCACTTTAGTGGGTTATCCTGAAAGATAGCAATACACATTGATTAATCATATGTGCCCACAAATAGATTTATTAGATTAAATCCAACAGGCGAGCTTAGTATTTTTATAGTGTTTATTCAATATAATGATGGTTTAGCGAGCATGGATTATGAGGCAGCATCAGTGTCATAGACTCGTAGGCCAATGAGTTACGTAGAATCTGATTAATTTATATTAAGAGAATAATCTTAGCGTGTATATAAGTTTGTTCTTAATGACGAAAATGTGCTTGCTTAAATGTGTTTTTTTAATGAGAAGAACATTTGTATGTGACAAGTCTTAAACCGAGTTAACTACGTGTTTGATGTTCATATATTGGTCGTTTTATTTTTTCAAAAAGTTTGTTGATGTTAGATAATGAATGCTTTTCTATGTTATGTGTTACGGCTTGCAAATATACATATTTAATTTTAATATGTTATGAGTATTTCATTTCTTATATTTTCCAGGAAAAAAAGTACTCATCTCTTATAATCTATCAAATTGTTTTTTAATTAGAGTTTAAAAGAGCTAAACACTAAATTAAATATGATTAATAACCAATAAGTTGTTGGCCCAGTGGTAAGCAAGTTAGTCCGTAGTCGGGTACTTGCCTCTTGGCAAGAGTTCAAAGCTAGAAAGGCGCACTTATTAGAAAATAAATAAATAATTATGGTATTAATTACTATAGTATTTTAAAATAAAAAGTAAAAATATTTCTATGTTATAGCTGTTAACTACTTTCTACAACATCCCTAGTCATCTAAAGCTGCTACTTCAACTTTCCGCTTTTTCGTCAATGAAAAAAAAAATTATTAATTTCGAAATAGAAAGCAGCGAGGAAGTTAAAATAAGTTCACTTCCAACTAACCTTTTAAACGTATCGTCAAACTAATTCCACGCCCGTTTAACTATCGTGCGCATCTCGTGAGTTAAGACGCGTAGGCCTCTGTAACTGAACCACAGCAGTCTCTATTGTTACGGTTTTCTTTACATTATCGTGATTGGCTATTGTAAGCCAGCTGATGTACGCCTTTAACTGAAGTCGCGAACAGTCATGACCGACGACTGTAACGTCTTCCTACACTTTGAAATTCTAATTAACCCACGCGTTAATGTTTACGCTCTTAATATGTCAGTTAAACACACAGCTCACGTGGAAGTGGAAGCATAGAAAAGCTGGTATTATTCATATAACCGTTATTTTGTGGGTAAATTAAACTAAACCCCTCATGAAGTTTCGGTGTTTTGCACTGAACCCCTACGAGCTTTCAAAAATCACAGGCGACCCCGAATAGCTTTCTTTTTTTTTTTTGTGGAGAAAACCCTCAATAAATTTCTGCATTTTCCAGATAATCCCATGAATTAGAAGACGAAGACGATATAAAAAGATATTTTAAAAGTTACTGGGGGTTTAGTGTAATTTACCCAAAAGATATTGGATTTCTGCAAAAGATTGTTGGGGTTTTAGTGCGATTTTAGAATTCCATAGGGGTTTACCGTAAAATGCTAAAAGCTTATGGAGGTTCAATGTAATTTACTCTTATTTTAACATAGGCCGTATTTTGTTATTATATTAGACTACTTAGATGTTATTTTTCTTTTTGTGTTTCTTCCTTTTTTTTCATCCTTCTGTTTTGAAAAAGCTTTCTAACAATAAGTTCTCGAATGAGAAACAAATTATTCACTATTTTGACTACACATGCGTATGGATAGAGCAGCTAAACCGAGGTGCATGAACATTTAAAACACAAATTAAATTTTGCAACCAAGACAGCAAAATTATCCTTGCTCAGCTGCCCCTGCAAACAAACCCCATGCACGCGTAAAACTTAATTTGGAAATAACATATGCTAATACTTCCCACGCATAGTAAAATCTTAACATAATAAGTTTCAATCATCATCATTTCCTACTGGCCTCATCAATCACGGATTCAATCATCCTCCACGACCTCTCCACCGCCCTCTTCGCCCCTCCGGCCAAAACCCGAACTCTCTCCTCCATCTCCTCCCCTCCCTCCCCCTCCATCAGCTCCTTCACAAACCTCGCCAGGTCCTCGCCCTTAACCAACCCAAACTTACTCCCATCACTAGCCCTTACCCTAATCCCAACCCTCAACTCATCCACCACGAACTTCGCATTCAAATGCTGCTCTGCCATCATCGGCCACGCCAGAACCCTCACCCCCGAGCATACTGCCTCCAACAGCGAGTTCCACCCGCAGTGAGTAACGAACCCTTTAACGCTCTCATGCTGCAGAATCGCGCACTGATCGACCCAGTCCCGGACCACCACGCCTCTTTCGGCTACCCTCGGCTCGAAC